TCTCAGTCTGAAAGGTACTGCATGTATGTGTTGCAGAACCTGTCTAGAAAGGACACACTGGCATCAATTCTGAGATAGCAGAACTAAGGCTGCGACGAATACTCGAATACTTGCACTATTGACAACTACTCAAGTACGATTTATCGTACTCGAATACTCGGCCGCCATTTTTTTCCTTTTTTTTTCTCCCATTTATCTGGCACTGTCCAGGCCGACGCTTACCCATGCCCGGGAGAGGGCCGGCATGGTACCGTCGGTAAAAATGTTTCCCAGCTCAATCACTGTCAACTCACCACTCAGCAACTGGGACCAAATGTCCGGATTTGTGATTAGATTCAGAGGAAAATTAGTCTGTCATCTTTGGTTTTAAAAACAGCATTGTTATTATTATTATTAAATCGGCACCTTCAACTGCAACTCAAAGTAAAAGCGCGTGAATTTTCGGAGACGGACCTGGGATAATTCTACCATAGTATGGTGGTGGCAAAATTTGAGTATTCGCCTGTAAGCCTTGGAGTGTACTTGAGTACCTCATTACACGCTTATGCACAGCCCTAAGCAGAACGGTTCTATGTGTTGTAGAACCTGTCTAGAAAGGACACCTGTCTACACTGGGCATCAATTCTGAGATAGCAGAACGGATCTGCTTCTTTAGGTTGGCCTCGTTACGTAGGCTTTTAACGTGGTTTCAACTAGGCATGTGCACTTAATTATCAAAAGCACAGAAGCTACCCCACCCGACACATGCAAGTCACACTCTACAGGGAGATACAATCACGGCACGGCAGAGTGGTCCGATCGGCCGCCGCATGAAGACGGTGTTTACACAGACTTGAAAATGGCATTTCAAATGTGTACAATTCCCATGTTAAGTGGCAAAACTAGTGCTCGGTACACAGTGCCGTAATGTTAGATCGCATAACTTGAGCAGTCTACATAGCGTTGCACGTTCACCTTCACAGACGCAATCCCGTGCACGAGAATGCACGGAAGCTAGGGATGTTCCCACGGGCACGGTTAACTCAGGGGAAAGTCAGGGACCTGTTTCACAAAGCATTTTTTCAATGACAAATGGCAAAAATCAGTGACAAATCTGCTGATAACCAATCAGAAGCAAGGATTTCAGTAGCTTATAACAAAAACTGTCATTTGTCACTGATGACAAGTTTTGTGAAACACTCCCCAGGATGTGAGGAATGTACAGTGTGGACGAGTGGCTATGGGCTGTAGCATTATGCTTGGAAAATTAACACAATAGGAAGTGCATGTTCATGAGTATGATAAATATGTGCTTCATGGCACTCTTCTCTAGGCGAAACTGAGAGAGAGAGACAAAGCAAATAAAATGGAGCTGTGAGTGATTTAGCTCTGGTAATTTTCACGAAAGGTTTGACAATCTCGATAAAAGAAATAATAAATACAAACTGATGAAAGGGAATCTCATTTTATAATGGAAATTCAGAAAGAGGTCTGGCAAAAGAAAATTTAAAGAACATCTTTTTTCTTCCACAGATCAGTCAACGAAACAAGATGTAATGTACATACATGTACATGTATGTACAACGGTTACGCCCAAAACATGTTTCCACTGCCACCACAAGAGGACACATTCAGGAGGATATGAGAGACATGTGAAATAGATCGTGAATGAATGAACCTGGGCAATGTACCGCATGCCGATTCCTTTGGGAGTTCACCTTGAAAGATTTAACAGGTTATCTGTGCAAAGAGGCTATCCGAAAATTAGCATTACTGAAGAGAGCAATGCCTCTGCTGCTGATGCTCTCTATTCCTTTAAAGCCTATCTGCACTAGTTTGGCCAGGAGGGATTAGACCACCCAGTGTGGTCACTGACAGGTGGTTATCTCATCAAATCAGCTCTCAATAAACATAAGAAGAATGGGACATGGGGGACCAACGGGCACAGCTTAGGCATTATTTTCTATACAGATGGAGCAAGTAGCTACAAGTAGTGCAGTGGGGCTTTAAGAGGTTATCTGTGCAAAGAGGCTATCCAAAAATTACCATTACTGAAGAAAACAATGTCTCTGCTGCTGATGCTCGCTTTTCCTTTTTTTTTGATGGTTAAAGGTAAAGACCAGTTTTGGAAACGCCTCCATTTCAAAAAATGATATGGTAAGCTTTATTACCAATCATGTGAAAGAATATGTTTTAACTAATACGTGATGAGACAAATTTTGCCGGGAAACCACCTACTAATTTATATATTTGGTAAACTATTTTATCTATCTGGACTGGATAGATATAGGGTAGTCCCATATACATCTTTCTGTGTACAGTGCTTGTAAATTTACCAAGAATGTGCCAAATTTCTTATCATTTTGATGATTCCAGAACCTTGCAGTACATATGCTAGATGATCAACCTTTTCTGATCGATTTCACAACGTTCCTTTCACAATACAATCGCATGACCAGAACTGGTCTATACCTTTAAAATCAAGAAGATAAGCTTGCCTAATGCATGGTATGCCTTTGGTTGAATCTGAGCAATCAAACAAAGAAATCTGATATGAATTTTGTTTTTATGATGTGGTGATAAATTAGCCATATTTCTAAGCCACACCCCTTCAATAAAAGAAAAATTACGGGTCTGTGAAGTGTGTGATATACATGTACTGTACATGAGCCAACATAATAAACTTTATTATAGCTCCAAGAAAACATATCAATTGCAATATATGGCCTATGTTATTTTTTTTCTTACAATCAAGCTGTCAATCTGGTGATAATTTGTTCATATTTAATGACAAAAAAGTCCTCTGTAAGGACAGACTGAATGAAATAAAATCGCTTGACATAGCAACAAAAACATCGCAAATCTCATAAATCATTGCTTAATGATATGAGCTAACATTATGATGGCTCAAAGAAAACATATCAATTACAAAATAGCTCCTAGAGGTTTTTGTTCTTACCATGAAGCTTTTCTAGTAATAATTCAGCCATAATTAATGCACATTCCTTAAACAAAGTAGAAACGTGATGAATCTAGATTTGCCTGATATAGCAACAAAAATATTGTAAATCTCAAAGAGACAATCCATTCATGCACATTAAACATCTCTGTCTATGTTGTAATTCAACAAACAAGCAAACACTAGTTACGCAAGAATGTGCCACCTCGTTAAAAACTTTATGTAGGAAAGACAGACCCAGGCAGGACAATTTTAAACGAATCAATTAATATTTTAGGTCTGCATTAAAGGTACATTTAGCATTCTGACAGGGTCATTAAAGTAAATAGTCGAACTGTTTGTTAGTTTTGCCTACATGTATAATGTTTTTTTTTTTTTAAATCATGAAAAGGGCTATCTACACTAACAGTATGGATTGTTTGGCCCTGGAAAAAAGCAGGGCTAGCACCGCAATTGCTGTGCTATCTTGTGAAATGCGGTGCTAAGAGCTCGTATGAGAACAGAAGTAAAAATAGTGCGGGGTTACGGAAAAGCCGGGGGTGCGGAAAAGCCGTGCTAACTTATGAGGGAGGAAACACTAAATCCAATCAGAGATAGTCCAGGGTTAACGATTCCCTAGACTGGCGTGAACTTCTTTAGCCCTGGTTAGGCAAATAGTATGGGGCTTAGAAAACACATGAGTGTGAAAAGCATATTAAAGGGAGTGTGTCATGACGAGACTATGTGTCTTTCCCGTGGCCCTACCCGGGGCCAATAGGGTATAATACGACTACGGACGACACGACCGCAGCATGAGGAGAACTTCAGTCTGTTTCGCCAACGCAAGCGTGCACTGACCCAGTTTAGCACGTGCTAACCCAGTTAATCAAGTCCATTCGTTTACTTACAGTTGTCCAAAAGAAGACGTAGACGCCGTTAACCAGTATTTGCCATGATACACTCCCTTTAATGTGATTCATGGATAAACACTGCAATCGGTAAATCACCCCTAGGGTAGCAAGCTATCAGCTGCAGGTCACACAGGGTTCACATCCAAAGCCATGTGGCACACTCAAAATTGCGAACATATTGCTGTATTTTTAAAGTCCATCTGTACTAGTTTGGCCAGGGGGGAATTAGACTTTCCTGCAAGGTCACTGACAGGTGGTTATCTCATCAAAATAGCTCTCAACTATCATTAGAAAAAGAGGATCATGGGGGACCAACAGGCACCGTTTAGGCATTGTTTGCTAAATAGAGGGCGCAAGTAGCTATAAGTACCGGTAGTGCAGTGGGGCTTTAATGGAGTCTAAGGACTTGGAGGAACCATCGGAAAGATGAAAAGCGGTCCAGAGCAGATGTATGTTCAGCTGATCAGCTCTAAAAAAGAAATCGTCTGTTTGGAACCAGGAAGGTCTTAGTTCATATACTTAAACACAGACTTAATGACCTTCTGGCTGCTGAACATATAAAATGTTTGATTTGATTTATGTCAACTGACACATACATTTGGGTTACATGTATGCTAAGTATGTTTGAGTATAGAAGAACTACCTACAAAATGTTAAATATGTGGGACTGACAAAAAAAAAAGAATTTTAGAATCTGCATGTCATTCTCAGATATTGTGTCTTGATAGACATTTGTCTGATGGCAAAATACACCAGAACTAAATTTCATTCAGGCTTCTCACAGTCATCATCATCATCATTATCCTTCTTCTTCTCCTCCTCCTCCTCTTCTTCATCCTAATCATTTTCCTCCTCCTCTATATCATCATATATCTGTGGATCCCCCTCGGTGAAGGAGGGGGAGGAGTTGGGTCATCCTGATACCAGTCTTTGGGAGATTTTGTTTTCTTCAATTTTCCATGGCTTTCAATTTTTTTTCCACGGCCTCGGGAACCCTGCACTCTTCTCTTTGGTCAGCCTCTCATTCTCATGCCTCCCTCTCACCACTTCATAGACTGAGCACTACACATACATGTAAATCACTATTATTCTGCCACTGAAAGAAAAAAAATCGCTAATCATAACGGAAGAGCATTCCTGCCGACTAACAAACTAATTCTTTCTATACTCACTCATAAAACTGGATGGCTTGCTTAAGGCAGTCTGTAACCTCTTGCGGGAAGTCTCCCGGATCTTGATGCCCGCTCCGCCCAGCATGCTTTCCTTTAGCGTGGTACACATTGCCTAGATTGTACAGTGCCCTGCCTTCCCCCACCTGTAAGTGTAAATAAAGGATCACAACATCAGAACATGGTCTAGCATATATTGTACAGGGCATCATATATGTACATGTAGGTACAGTCAAACCTGCTTTAAATAGTGACCACCTGTGTACAAAGACCACCAGTCTACAACAAGCACATTTTTGTTTCCCTTGAAAATGGTTTCTTATTGAAACATTATGGTACTGGTACTAAAGGAACAGGTGTACAAAGACCACCTGTCTACAAAGACCCCCTTTTTGTGTTTCCCTTGGGCAGTCGCTGTAGACAGGTTTGACTGTACATTGAAACCTGCAGGGCTTAAATTAATCGAAGGCCACCAAGGCCATGGCCATGGATTCCACTTTGATTGGCCTCAATGCCCCTCTCATTTGCCTTGGAGATTTTGTGTGCCCTTTCCAGTTCTTCATATTTGTGCTGTAATATAGGAATGTGCCCTACAGAAAAATGGCCTTGCCCTAAAAATGTTGAAATTTAAGGCCTGAACCTGTATGTGAAGACAGCTCAAGGGAATCATGAAAAGTAGTCTCCATATGCAGGTCGTCTTTATGTACAGGTTCCTACAGGTTTAAATGAGAAACCATATTCAAGGGGAACAAAAAATGTGTGGTCTTTAAATACAGGTGTTCTTTCTATAAAGATGGTCACTAAAACAGGTTTGAATGAACAATGTAATCGCAGCCTAGATTGAACGGCCGCTCTGCCTTCCCCTTCCTGTAAATACAGCATCACAAAATCACAATGTTATTGAACTACATTCAAATGATTCGATATCATTGGGTATTGTCCAGTACATTATTGGACAAAGTAAACATTGCCTAGATTTTACAGTGCCCTACTGAATATCACATAATACTGATTATTACATTTTATTGTATTCATATTCAATGGCTACAGTGTACAATGTACATTGCTGTACATCAGGTGTACAGGTATGTTAACAAATTGGCTAGATTTGACATAGCCCTACCTTCTCTTCTCATTGTATAACATTTATTGGCTACAGTATACAGGTACATTGTAGTACATTAGGTTAAGGTTTACATGTACATGTACATGTGTAAGTTAACTTTGCCTAGATTGCTTAGTATCCTTCCTTCCTCCACTGGTACATTTACAGTAGGTATAGGTATGTACAATATTATGCATCATAAAGTAATGATCATCACAATGTAAATGTATCAATATTATACTGTATACCATTAAATTGATAACATAACTAAACAACATCATCTCAATATTGATAATATTTCAAGAAATACCATTTAAGGCTTTTCATATTCTTTATCCTTTAAATCCATGATGCGAGAACTTGATATGATAAGTTCTTCATCATTTGCTTCATTAGCGATCAAGTACTTGTTTGTTTGTTTAACACAAGTGGACACATTGTTCATACATATTGCATTATGGACACTAGAAAAATGTATCTGAAAAATTCTGAATGTAATTTAATCTCATCTAAACTATTAATGTTTTGAATCAAGAAATAACCAGGAATCACCATGGCACGTTGTATTTTATGTGAATTAGATAACTGCATAAAGGAATTAAATTGTGTGTTTGTACTTTGTACGGTAGATGAACCGAAAAAAAGTCCATCGCCTGTTTCTTCATGTCTATACTGGTATTGTACATACATGTAGAGACATGTTCATCGCAAATTTCCTTTGAATTCTTTGCCAATTGCCATCATCATTATTCACGCAAGAAAATGGTGGTATTTCACAGCAATCAACATGCAATGACGTCAATGATTATTCTTATTGTTCTTCCTAACTCCAGCCTTCTACGTTCAGTCTCTCTCTTCTCTTCATCCGTCTTCCCTGTTCTTTTCCTTACTTTTTTAATTTCTATTTGGACCAATATATCTTTTCCTTTTTCTTCTCAATGACAAACGTAAAAACCTTTGCTTTTACTTCTTTCTTTTCCCAATTTAGATGAAAAATTAGACAATCGACTTATAAAATATTAATAATAATGTAATAGTGAACATTTATAATACGCCATGTCTGTCAAAATTGACACTCCTGGCGCAGGATCACATTAATCATGTCAATTATGGATCACATTAATCATGTCAATTATGGTTCACATTAATCATGTCAATTATGGTTCACATTAATCATGTCAATTATGGATCACATTAATCATGTCAATTATGGATCACATTAATCATGTCAATTATGGATCACATTAATCATGTCAATAATAGATCACATTAATCATGTCAATTATGGATCACATTAATCATGTCAATTATACATCACATTAATCATGTCAATTATGGTTCACATTAATCATGTCAATTATGGATCACATTAATCATGTCAATTATAGATCACATTAATCATGTCAATAATAGATCACATTAATCATGTCAATTATGGATCACATTAATCATGTCAATTATGGATCACATTAATCATGTCAATTATACATCACATTAATCATGTCAATTATGGTTCACATTAATCATGTCAATTATAGATCACATTAATCATGTCAATTATGGTTCACATTAATCATGTCAATTATGGATCACATTAATCATGTCAATTATGGATCACATTAATCATGTCAATTATGGATCACATTAATCATGTCAATTATGGATCACATTAATCATGTCAATAATAGATCACATTAATCATGTCAATTATGGATCACATTTACCATGCCTAATCATGTATCATTTATTATTTCCTTTTTATGCATTTTGTTTTTAATTGTCAAAAATGTGTACAATTCAGCCTAGGCTGCAAGACAGATTTAGATACCATCAAATAAAATATCCAATAAATGAAAGTCTGCAAGCTTGAGTACTGGAGGACCATTTAATCCATTTGGTATGATTACTCATTGATAACAGCTTAAAGCATGGAGGTTGCCTATCCACTCCTTAGAATTATTCATCAAAAAGACTATCCAGAAGCCTTAAATCACCGTGGCAACCACTTTTCTCCAATCACTCAAGCAACGTGATAGTAGCAAACCTTTGTTGCAACATGTTTTGATTTGAAATCAGTTCATGGCATCCTTCTGGAATATGAGTTCAGGGTGATCACTGCCTACATACATGTATGTATTGATCAGGATACATGTACTTGTACATTATACATGCACGGAACACTTTCATGGTATCTGTTTATTGTCATAAAATATACACTGAACATGCAGCCCACCAACGCAAACAGTTCCTTGCAAAATATTGTACAACCTCAATTAATAACACTCTTAAACTGATGTTAAAATAGCACTTGTACATATGTGTGGAATCTTTTGCACAAGACTAGGTGGAAACGGTATCAAATTATAAATACAGTCTGTCTTTTATAATCATTCAGCATGCATCATGCATTTGATTAATAACATTTAACAAACTTACGTGAGTGTTGTCATGTAGATTTTAAAGCGACTAAAGAATGATAATTCAAAGGACATTCAAGTGCAGTGTACTAGATTCAAAGTACATGTAACTAGTCTTTCAGTAGTCAATGCTCTATAAATAGCAGTAAACATATTTTGAGCATGGATTATTCCATGTAACTCTATCTGTTTAGGATGATATTGGATATAATTCATGTGATGTGCATTGAAGAATCCATCCCTGCACTCAATAAAAAGTCACATACAATATGAAGCTACAGTATTATGAATATAGAGTTCATTGTTGTGGCTAGATTCAACTGTACATCACACCAAGCCTACCTTGTACAAGTAAAATGACCAATTATTTAGGTCTTTATATATCACTGCCTGATCAGTGAAAATAGACTAGTTACAAGTTGACTTTTACTTGCATTGAAACTGAATAAAGTACAGACAGAAAGGCAGCTGTAGATCTATAGAGATCATATAAGTATGACCAGGACCCTGTCTCATCAAGAGTCAGAATTGATCCATCGCAACTAAACTTGAGACTATTAAACAATCGATTTCAAATCTGTATGAGGAATTATAACAGACTGTAAGTATGCAATGTTTAAAGGATTTAAAGTCACTTTGAATCAATCACAACTCTTTATAAGGCTGTAATAAGAAAAAGTGTATTGCCCTTTGCGACCGCCCCAAAAATCTTGAAATCTACAGTCGGTTTTTTTTAAACCATTTTTTTAGAGAGAAAAAAATGATAAAATTAACTCAAATCTGAAAAATATCAGACCAAAGAGAAAGAAAAAAAAAGAAGAAAAGATTTCTGACTGACCGACCCATGTTTCTGCACCTAAAGAACAATACAACATCTGTTTAGGCCTAAGACAGGGCCATTATCCTTATGTTTGATGACATTACAGTTGAGGAATATCAGATCGATTGTTCTTACCTTTTCGGAGAGCTCTCTCGATATATCTAGATGTCTTTGACAACAGCAGATGGCTTCATCAAACTTTCCTAGAACTTTCAAGGTATTGCCAATATTACCACTAGCTTTGGCTTCTCCGAGTCGATCACCAATCGATCTGCAAAGAGACAAAGGAGTTCTATCAGCACACTGAATTGTAAGAATAATTTTAATGATGATGATGATGATGATGATGGTGTTGATGATGATGATGGTGTTGATGGTAATAATGATGATGATGTAATGATAATATTGATGATGATGATGATGATGATGATGATAGCAACCATAGAATAACCCAACAGTACAGATGGAGCATCAAACCATTCATTTGAAATGAAAAATGTGGCAAAATTTGCGCAAAAACATCATATATTGTGATTCTATTTAATGCGAGTACTTCCATCTGATTTTGAATAATTCATGAATATCCAAGGCGGCCTTGGTATACAACGGGAAGGGGAACGGGAAAGATATCTACGAACAACATGAAGTTGAGCCAAGTCAGTATCAATCAACAACTTTCTAATTCTTTGGACAAAGTTTCTGATAATTGTCTCTCATTTGTTTGTCTGATTTGTATCCTTCAATACAAACCTGCTTCTTCTTAAATCTCTTTTTTTGTGCCACTCTTAACCCAGGTGCAGGGAATTGGTACCTTCTGGTTGTCAGAAGACTTCCTTGAGTGATTAAGTGCCTCATTTTCAGACAGCTTGACTAAAATCAGGGTAATAGGTATAAATACGTCATTATGAAGGCACTTTGATCATACTTTTGTTAGATTAATGGAAATTTAGTTTGTATTATCATCACTGGCCTGTACTTACGTCGCTAGAGTCAGATCATGCTTGTGGTAGGTCAGGGCCTTGCCATAGTCCTCCAAATAGAAATAGGCATTGCCTAGCTGACTGTAGATGGCACTTAGTGTTTTAAGGTCATCGGTTCCGACCTCGACGGCGGCCTCTAGGTACCGCACCCCTTCCCGGCAGTTGCCCGCCTTGCACAACCTCTCCCCTTCGAGGGCCAGCTCCATACAGGAGGCCTCGCTCTGCATCTTGGGGCCCGTTTCACAAAGCCTTTGTTCAATGACAAAAATCAGTGACAAAGCTGCTGATAACCAATCAGAAGCAAGGATTTCAGTAGCTTATAGTAGAAACTGTCATTTGTCTCTGATGACAAGTTTTGTGAAACGCCCCCCTGGATCCCTGCTCCGGGTGGGTCAGATCCTCCAGGATAAGTTCTCCTCAAAGTGATGAGACTTCTTAAAGATGCTGCAGAAAATAAAACAATTGGAGAAACTTTTGTTGAATTTATCCTAGAAAATTGCAATGAATATGATTCTTTCATGGTCACAACACAAATACATGATTTCTCATTAAAGTTCAAACAGCTTTTTTCTTTATCAAGCCATTTTATATATTACTTAAAAATAGGCTTGTAAAAGTCATGGGGTTCCTGACTGACCTAAAGGTTTATAATTATCATTGCAGCATAAGCTAAATCCATGATTTTGTTTCAGAATCTGAGAAAAGGTTACCAGATCCCTTTAAGGAAGCAGAGCAGAAGTACTAGCACAGCAGTACACCATTCATTGCATTGTACAGAGTAAGGAAGGAAGTTTTAGTTAGTACCCAAGTGTGGCATTCTGAAAACTATGATGCAGACTTTCAGGTACATGTATGCTAAATTGATTTACATGTACTGGTATGTTTTTATTAAACTTGATACAGTAAAATCTGCTTTAGCAGCAGCCTGTACATGTATATAAATTATAAAGACCACTTTTAATTTCTTCCTTGTGTGGTCTTTATATACAGGTTTTACCCTATTTTCATTGGTGCTTGCAGATGTCTCTTTGAAATATGTGTCCATACATGTATGTGTCAGGTATGCACAAGCAATGAGTTATGGCTTGTGACTTGTCAAAACTTACATTTGTTGTGCAATTAATGTAAATGTACATATACATGTACATGTACCTGTACACATTGGCACAATTTTTCGAATACCACCCCAGGGTTATCAATGCTTTGAATATTGTAAGGAAAGGGGGCATTGCAAAGATCGTCGTGCATAGATAAAGGAGACCCTACTATACATCTCTCTTATTTAAATTTGCTAAATTTCTGGACTCCAATGTTACAGTAATGTGCATACTTTATTTCCTGCTCACTATTCATTGTACATGTACATGTTTAATAATCCATGCTTGATTTATATGACGATGATGACCCACAGCAATTTACCCCTGCTACTCTGTTACCCCTTCATCCATGCCTGCCTTCCGAAATTCATAATAGCCTACTTCTACTATCGCTCTTTTTCCTACACAAAATTGATGCTTCTCGTTTTAATACGTTCTAGTACTCTCCAAAGCTCCTAACCGGTCGGATTTTAAACATTTACTTTATTTGGACTCCAGGAATCTCCAAAATAGTGGAGGGATCAACTAAGAAGAAGAAGGTGGGTGTGCTTTTCATTTGATACTTTTTCGCTTAACACATTTAATTAAGGTCTTTTCTTTATGAATACACAAATGTCAACGAAGAACAAGTGTCATTTAACTTGATTTAAGGCTTACAGGTAGTTTTAATTTAAGTTTTTGAAGTGTATGTAATGAAACTATGTAAGTATATAGACAATAAATTGACACTCCCAACAAGAGTTTCCATTCATATGTCCTTGAACTGATCGACACTAGGTATAAATAACTACCGGTAGTATATTCTATATATGTACAGGAAACTTCAAAGTACCAGTAACTTTACAGTATTACATTGTACATGCATGCAAGGGCCAAACTGTCCTATAAGATGTACAAGATGTACAAGTATACGTACAGTTAATGTCAGATCCAGAGCAATCAATCTTTAAATGCATAAATTTTCTCTACACCTCTTGTTTGTAAGTGAAGATTGATACATTTACAGGATTTAATATGTGCTTTTTTTGTATACTATCTTTACATGCACATGTAGATTAGTACAACACCTTTAGTTTACAGTAAAACAAGAAACTTAATAGTCACAGCTAAATGGACAAATAAATCATAAACAAATATTGTAAATGTCAGTACATTTGTACAACACTATCACTCTACAGTCTAAGATACATGTAGTAAGAGGCAAGTTAGTACAGGATGCAGATCGGTCTACATGTACATGTATACCAGCAATTCTTTTGTTTTTCGTTCTTACCAAGAGATGTGAACAGCAAAAGATATATTTTAATTATAACTTCAAATGCCTCCTAAACCACTTGATTGCTTAGATTCTGAAGCAAACAAGGAACAATCATTTCTTCAGAACCAGAAGAGCATTACCTACATGTATTTACACTTTGATACCTGAGTTAATGCCCTGGCAGGTAGCTCGACTGAACAGACAATATCTACATTTTTATTATACAAGGGCATTCATGACTTAAGGAGATGAATTTCCTTTTCCTGTATTAAATTACTCTCTGACACACATTAGTTTTAAACTTCCTTAAAACCTCTTTTTGTATTTTCTTCCGTTTTGTGATGACATATAGTTATATGGAAATGTTTGTTTGTCATTGTATACTTCTTTGTTGTATATTTCTGCTGTAACTTAGGAGAAAATTTTTATCTAAAAGATAAATTATGAAAACTGCAATATGGTTGTTCAAGCAAGCAGTACATACACAGCCAGCCTCATCCCAAAATCCAAGACGTGATCGTCTCTTACCACCTTCATAATGTCTTAATGACAGGAAAAAAAATCACTAAACAGCTAGTCCATCAGGATACTTGTTTATGTCAACAGTCAAGTTAGAATACCCTGTTCTCTACCAATACGTATGTACATGGAAATGTCCTAACGCCTGCTCCAGCAGCCTTGTGATTTTTTTTTGATTTTTTTTTTTTTTTGGGGGGGGGGGGGGGGTATTTTTTTTTTTTTTTGAGCCAAAATAAATTGTATACGATCTACCTCGAAGCAGTTCCTCAAAGTTGACAGCTCTGATCGGGGACGATCATTATTTTTATGACGTATTTTGTCGGTGTATACGAGGATATCCTTGTTTGTGCAGACGATCCTTATTCTCGGAACAGCGCCCCTAGATATCCTGTTATCCTGTCTACTGTTAATTTATAATGTTTAATAATAATAATGTGCAATTTTCTCAATTCCATTTTAAATTCATACGCAGAGATATCTTTTATATTTCTCTGTACATGCATCAATAGTCAATAGATCTACCCCAAAACCCCTAAATTCCCTGACGTTACTTTCATGCCCTAGGCCCCTAGATCATAATTTGTCAGTTGAAATATTGTGCGCTAGGCCTAGATTAGACCGAAAGCTTCAGTCTCTATAATCGTCGGTTGTTCCACTGAGACTACGTCTGGCTCAACTAGACCTCCGGTTATAGAGACTGAACGATCGCCTATGCCAGCCTATGTTGAAGATATCACGGCTAGATTTTAGCCGTTAGGCCCCTCCCACAAACATGAACAAACTTGCCACGGCCGTATTGTTATGCCCCCAAAATCCCCCAAAATGTCATTTTACCTCGTCCATATCCAATTTTAAATTAGGCCTAGGCTATTATACATCGGTTCCACTTACTAAATTTATTGAAATATTCCGTTTAATGGTCCCTTTTAAGGAAATTATGGGTCAAAATCGACATCCATGTTGAAAATCTTGCAAGCCGTGTTAAACTCTCGCTGCCGTCAATCTCATCCCTTCTAGTCTACGCCGAAGGCAAAATGATTATGAAGGAAAAACTGTGATAACGCCATTACGAACGTGTAGATGGCGCACAGTTTTTCCTTCATAATCATTTTGCCTTCGGCGTAGACTAGAAGGGATGAGAGTGACGGCAGCGAGAGTTTAACACGGCTTGCAAGATTTTCAACATGGATGTCGATTTTGACCCATAATTTCCTTAAAAGGGACCATTAAACGGAATATTTCAATAAATTTAGTAAGTGCAACCGATGTATTATAGCCTAGGCCTAATTTAAAATTGGATATGGACGAGGTAAAATGACATTTGGGGGGATTTTGGGGGCATAACAATACGGCCGTGGCAAGTTTGTCATGTTTGTGGGAGGGGCCTAGCGGCTAAAATCTAGCCGTGATATCTTCAACATAGGCTGGCATAGGCGATCGTTCTGTCTCTATAACCGGAGGTCTAGTGGAGCCAGACGTAGTCTCAGTGGAACAACCGACGATTATAGAGACTGAAGCTTTCGGTCTAGGCCTAGATCTACTGTAAATCTGCGATCTGCTGTGTACTGGTTGCACAAAAATAAAGGAAAGACCTTCAGACTGGAACAGATATCCCTTTGTCAAACTCATTTCAAATCTCAGGAACACTGCACACAGACAGAGGGCTCGTCCCAGTGGCATGGTCACCATCTGATCACATGGATCTTCAAAACAAAAACAAAAACATCAATTTTATTTTTGTTTTTGTTTTGAAGATCATCAAAATAACACAAATCTATTTTAAACTAGTGGAACAAACGATCATTCATTTTCAGAAGACCATACCACGTATTAGTATTACCACTCTAGCTATCAGCTTAATTACTAAGTTTGAATTGAAATACAAAAAATATTCTTACTCTGCGACTCTGCATTCTGTTGAAAACAGTGAATGTTGTTTGGGAAAGGAATCAGCTGAGCTTGAGATGAGCTGAATGACTGAACGTGAACGGAGACGAGATTGACCCGAAAGATGACTGACAAATCTGTTGATAAATGATATACTTCTGTCGATATTGTAGGCCTAGACTCTCTCGCCTCGGTGAAAAACAAACGCCTAGTTTGGAAGGAAAGATCCCCAATTGTCGTTCACAGACTTCAGATCAGTTTTCGCTCTGGCAGTTGACGTTTCGCTTGCTTGGCGTTTGCCGACGAGAAATGAATGAAAAAGCCGTTGCCCAAAAGAAAATGTTCGCACACCACTTAAAACGCTATCCGAAAAATCCAATTGTATACAGATAGTGCTGGAGATAATCGAAAAATTACGCTGTATATAGTATCCGGTATATATCATAAATATTTTACTCGACGCTTGGGGAGGGTGGAGGGAGTGGAGACATCCCGTTTTTTGAGGGTCTAATCCGTGTTTAGCTATACAATATAATATATAAAATAAAATGAAGAAGAATAATAAGAAGAACTGAAGAAAAAAAAAAGAAGTATAAGAAGAGGAAGAAGAAGAATCAGAATTTTATGGGGTGGATATATCAATAAAAGAGATTGTGGAAATTAAATAAGAAGATAACATTTTCTTGGCCAGCCCATAGATGTAATGTAATGAAGATGTAAGAAGAATTCATGGGGTGGGGCCACTTCGAACCCTTCATAAGATATATCAAGCCCGTACAAGCTTGTTTTAAGGGGGGTTCTTAGGGTTGCCACCTTTGAGCCACCGGTGAGAGTGAGACATTGCGAGGGAGCGATGCGACTAAGCCCGAGAAGTACTGAGCACTTAATTTTTTCGTGAGAAAATATTTAGCGGCGATTAAGCTGGCGAATCAACACCCCCCCCCGCCCCCCCCCCCCGTCTTGAGCAACAAAAAAACCCAAAAAAAACAATTAATTTAAAAGAAAGATATAGGCCTATTCCTTTCAAGGCCGCACATAAGCCTATTTACAGTTAGTCTAAAAGTCCCCAACAATTTTAGACTTCTAAATTCATGTAAATCGGATAGGCTTTCATTCCAAACAAGAATGAATTTGTGTTTTTTTCTGTCTTGTCTTTTGATTCATAAATCTTACTTTTACTGTATCAAGATTTCATCTGCGTATTTATTTTGTTTAACCAATATCTTGCAGCTTTATAGCTACAGTCAACCTGATGGCCTAAATAACTCTCCACATGACACTCGAGTAAACAATTCCAGAAGTACACTGTTCTCATGAGTAACTAGTAGACAATTATTGTCATCCGTGCAGTACTAAACACCATATTAGAATATTATGTAAAGTCAACGGAGTGCCCCTTTTTACTTCAGATAAGTGCCCCTTTTTCTTTCAAATATAGGTGCCCGTTCCACATTCTTATATGTGCCATTAACACCTAGCTCTGATTAGTGTACCCTTTACCTCTGATAATTGCCCCTTTTCAGATTTTGAGAGGTGCCCCTTTTACTTTGCCAAGTGTCACTTTTCCTTTGTAGGAAGTGTCCATTTTCACTTCTGATCGGTAAATATCCTTTTTATTTTGACACTTGCCTCGTTTCCTTTCAAATAAGTGCCCCTTTTCCTTAGGAATAAGAGCTCTTTCCCTTTTCCTTTTAAGCCACTTTTTACCTCTGATAAAAGCTCCTATCAAAATCTTTTGGTGTCCCTTGTCCTTCGACAAATGCACTTTTTCCACTAATCTCAGAAGTGCCTTTGTTCATCTCTGGTGAGTGCCCCATTTGACACTTGCTTATTTTCTTTTGTAATAAGTGTCCTTTTCTCTTTTGACAAGTACTCCCTTTTCCTTTCACCTAAAAGTAAAAGCAACATTTTCTTTGATTTCCCCCAAAGCTCGCTTGCATTTATATTTGATATAATCATGCTTCTAGAGAAACAAATATTGAAATCATCCCTGATAATGTTATCACAATGTAGGAGTAAATACCCCCCCCCCCCACACTTTAAAAGACGCTCCGACCGCCGGCCCTGAAAGTCATGCAAACTTTACGCTCAGTCATAATTTAGACTTTTCATACATGGCGTGGAGTATGCTATGATATAGGACTCTATCAAGGGCGTATCCAGGATTTTTTAACAGTGGAGGTGTTTTTGCCAAATTCGTGATAAAAGATTAAGCGGTGAATCAGCCAGCCGGTGAATAGGGGGGGGGGGGGTAAGGAGCACTTCCCCCCTCCAGTTCCTGAGAAAATATTTAGCGGCGAATCAGGCCGGTGACTAAGCGGGGGGGGGGGGGAGGGGGAGGGGGAGGGGGGGGGGGGGTAAGCACTCCTCTTTTCCGTCAACATCCATCCACCCCCCTCCTGTTTGAGCAACAAAAAAAAACATTTGTTACCCTTTTTTTTGGCCATGGGGGGAGCCATAGATAAATAAAGGGCGTCTTTACAATTCTAAAAACACCCCCCTTTGCCAAGGGGGGGGGGTGTTTGAACACCTTAAACACCCCCTTTTTGCCAAGGGGGTGATTGAACACCAACACCCCCCCCCCCCCCGCCCTCGATATGCCAATCACTCCATTCATGAGAAGAAACTTTGTAAGAGCCATTAATAGGCGCTCTCGATCAAAGAACATTTTTGATGAACTGGTTGTGCCATGCGAGCTAGTCTATCGTTGTTGAGAATCGACCTAAAAAGTTGTCCACATTAAATTTGTACATAATCTGTGGCCAGTTGCGTTATGAGCCAAAATTCCGAGGCCAGTAAGAATATAGGAACACATTATAACCCACGGGACCACGCCCCCACCACCACTGGAAGACTTTGCATCTCGTATTACATTATAATAGTTTTGCATTTTACCGTCGCCCTTATCAATAAGGCCTTTTAAAAAAATGCTGTAATGCCCTTTAGGTGCCAAAACATTTTTTTTTCTTCTTTTAAACTCTGTCTTTGAGATGATATTTCTCCGTTTTGAAAAAAAAGCCAACCCTAGATTTCAAGATTTTTGGGTCGGTCGCAAAGGGCAAAACAACGTCTTTTTGTTAAGGCCTAATAATGACAATTTTGAAAATAGATATCGATAAAATTGCGACCAAGTGAGAATATTTTCATCTTTCTATATATATAGTAAGATCTTTGATAATACAAAGTTCCATTTTCATATCCACCCCCCCCCCCAAATGGTGCAATAATGAGCAAAATATTTTGAGGGTACTGAGCTATATAGAAAGGGCGAGATGCATACGAATCGGGGGGGGGGGGCACCCGTCCCTCCCTCGACATGAAAACACTTTGCATTAAGCCTAATTAAAATTGTTGTATTGCCCTTTAAGTGCCAAAACATGGGTTGGTTGGTCGGAAATCTTTTTTTTTTTTTTTTTTTTTTAACTCTCTTTGGGCTGATATTTCTTATTTTTGAAATACTTTTAATACATTTTTTTCTCCAAAAAAAAAAAACGGTTAATTTTTTATTTATTTTTAATCCGACGTAGGTTTCAAATTTTTGGGTCGGTTGCAAAAAGCAATACAACATTTTTTAGATTTGTGAGGCCTTATATACTGCATACATACCGGTATGTGTTTTTTACTTTCGAGAAAAAAAATGCGTTTGTAATTGGAGCTTTGCATTAATTTTATGGGAATCATCTTATCGCATGACGCCCAAAGTGGGACTCTTAATTGATTAATTGATATTTACCTCCTTCTATCTCTTATGGAGATAGGCAGCGTTAAAATAATCATTCAAATGTTCAAATCTTGGGGGACAACTCCTATATCTGATCATTTTATACTAAGGTTTACAATTTATACCGGGCGGGGATTTTTATTTTTTATAAGCAAACTTGATATTAAAGGGACTATAGCTGGTTCAGGTTTGGTTAAGATAAGCGATCCCCTCCTAATGCATGCAAATAATTAATCACAAAATTAAAAAAAATTGCATTCAAACTGTAATCGTGCATAATGTATCTAGTGGAGTTGTTAAGAAAATTCAGTCTTTCAAATGTTTTAATAGATAGTCTCCAATAAAAAATATGCATTTCTAGGCTACCTATAAATTAGAGTGCAAGGACTTAATAATGATACATTTCAAAACGATTGTATTTTAACCCCACCGCAAACTTTACGATCTGATAAGATTTTTGAAGAATTTTAAATTGTATTTGCAAAAAAAGTTCAAACTTCTAAACGTCGTAGTGATCGATGGTGTGATCGAGCCTAGAATTGTCTCACAATTTGAAACCGATTTGGACTGGAGGGCTTGCACTTGAAGTCCAGTTGTTTGTATTCTTTCATTAGAACCTATATACATCAGGAAGATGATGTTTGTTTAGACTGCAATTTCTTTTCAAATCAGATCGCAGAAAGATGTGATGTGGGCTTTAGATATCAGAGGTAAAAAATGTCAGGACAAAAAAAAAAAAGAGGTATAGGCTATCGGAGGCAAAAAAATTATGTCAGAAGTCCAAAATGCCACTCGGAAGGAAAATACCAGTTATTTATTTGCAATGTATACGTACAGCGCCCGACAAAGTACTTTTGAAATGAAACTTACCGTATAGTTCCCCTAAGAAAATGGGGGCCGGGGGCGAATTCGAGCTTCCCTCAGGCTCAGTTTTCAGAGAAATTTCACGATATTTCATAGGCCTATCCTATTGTAAAGGAGGCTGGTTGTGATTTGAGGGGAACACGCTCCTTGTTCGTTTGTGTGTTTCTTCAAGTTTGCTTCGGAGGGTGTTTTTTTTTGGGGGGGGGGGGGGCGGGGGGCGGAGAGAATTTATTTGGCCGAGCTGGTTTAGTAGATTTGGGACGATTCTCGTAGCGTACATGCAATTGGAGTGGCCACGTGGTGACGTTTCTTGGCGTAGCATTGCATGCGGTGGACCAGTCTCGGGTGGAGCCTCGATTTCCGACCTCCAATCTAAGAGAAATTCCGAGAAGAATCTTGCTGAAAGCGTAAAGAGAAAATGGCGGAATTCGTCCATCAAAGTATTGAAGAAACACTGCCGGAGCTTGAACAGCTTGAACGTGTAGGGCTCTTTTCAAAACCTGAAATAAAGTAAGCATTGGCCATTGCAAATGCAATTTGCATTGCCATTGTATTTGCAATGGCATCGAGTATCTGACCACGCCACGAGGCCGAGGGCCGAGGGAGTCGCTGAGCTGAGTACCGGGGGTGAGGAGGAAAGACTTTCCATCTAATGGCCATGCATGTCTACGCCCGACAGTTTACAATGGCTTTAATTTTGCAATCGGGTTTCAAGTCTTTCAACCGGGTAAAAATGTGAAGAAATAATTGATGTGCCAGAGTAAAATTGGCTGGGGTCAAAATATGAAATTGGAAACTGAAATTGGAAACTGAAATTGTCTCAAAAACTCAAATAAAAAAACAAATTCAAAAGCACATGCCTGGTAGACATGTCTTCACTTAATCTTAAATAATGTCTGACTTGATCATGGTTTTGGACTTTTGGAAACCACTCTCTCTCGTCTGTATGCAGACCATTATTTCCAGACACTTGTGAATGTGACATTATGCGAGTCTTGATCGTGTTGATAATGTCTGTGCTTTGGCGTTTTATTTATCATGGAGTGGGAAAGAATAGATAAATGTGTGTGATCAAATGAAGCATTACTGTGCAGAGTGAATGGTCATGATGACAGATTCCTGTTTCATGATAATGCCTGAAAATTGTTCATGTTTGTTAGAGGGCGCTAGTTCACAGTAGGGGTGCTGGTCCGAGAATAAGAATCGTCTTCGTAAACGCGGACTGATGCGTCCTCAAAAATACGGATCATCTGCATTTTCGCAGACGTTTCATATTTTTGATCGGCTCGTTAGCGATGCGAAAAACGGATTCTGCGATGATTTTCTTGATGCCTTTTGTTATTGACTTTGTACAGAGAATCATGAGCGATAAATCCTCGGGAAGACGGACAACCCATTAAAGTAGATAGACTAGTGAAATTATTTTCTTATGGGGAATCTATTTTTCACATCGCCAATGCCATGGGCGGTTCGGTAACCCATAACCCAAAGAGCGTCAATGAAAAAAAATGCAGACGATCCTTATTTTTGAGGATGCGTTTTGCCCGCATTTAAGAGGATATCCTCGTTCATTCTCGGTCCTGGTTCAGTGCCCAATCCTCAACAATTGTTCAAATGATGGTCATGATTTCGTAGTCGTTATTTTGCCTATAAAGGAAGACACAATAATTAACACTTTCTCACAGGTGTCGTTCCAAACTGCTGCACGTACATTACAAATACAAGTGCATACCACGTTATACGGTGGGGCTGCCACGTGGAGGTCGGCCAGTGCTATAATCCACACAGCGTCATAAAAATGGTTCCATGATTGTCGAAATTAAAATGCTAGATGTAAAATTGCAATATTTCAAAACCTTTGTGAAAAGAATGAGAAAACTTAAAATGTTAGCATTTGCAAATAAGTTAACTCTAGAACAAAACCAACCCTGAAGAAGTGACAGAGGATTACAGGATTTACCTCTCCTCCTATCATGATGATGATGATGAACTCTATATTATTTTTTGAATTTTTCCTCCCGCAGAGCCATTGTGAAGAAGAGGACAGCCCATGAATACCGCTTGGGGAGACTCAAAAAGAGGAAAGAAGACTTTCTGAGATACATACAGGTGTGATAGCAATTCATGTTTACTTTAAATAACTCACATTTTCATGAAGGATATAACTCCACTGGAGTTATTGTGCCCGACCTGTAGTCGTGTTGAATACCATCATCATTGTCATGTAAGATAAAATTAAAGATCATAATTCTATATAGACTTATACACTGGAATCCTGAAATTGATTTGTAATTCTTGTTCGGTATTAAATGAGAATATTTTCTATTTTGTGATCTAGATTTGATATTTCTAATAATTTAGCTGTACCAAACAGCATCAGAAATTGTAAATCAAGTGACTCTTGTATTTTATTTATGCTAATCTATGATACCTTCATTATGTAATAAACTTGTGCATATTTTCTTTTATCCAGTATGAGATCAACATCTTGGCACTTATCAAGAAAAGAAGAGAGGTAAGTGAAACGGAAGAAGGGGGGGGGGGGGGGGGGGGGATGTAATCATTCAGAATGTTATATGAAGAAGGAAAAAACATAGTATAGACAAATTTCTATAGCTTGATTTGGATCAAAATAGTCTTTGATGATTGGACCCCTTTGAATGGTCAAACTGTCTTCAAAAGTAAACTCTGTAGACCCCACTCTGGTTTATGCATTGGCTTGTTTATACTTGTTTATCTTGTTTATGCATTGGGCTAGTTACTTGCGAATAGATGATCATTACCATATTCACTGTTGTTCAGTTGTTTACAGCCTGATTTTATGATTGTTTCTGGGTTTTTTTCTTTCCAGAGAAACAATTACTTTCACAAGAAGGAAGAAGTAGAGAATGCAATCATCACCCGTATTCACCGCTTTTTCAGGGTAGGTGTTGCTTTCAGTTCCTTTACTTATAATATGTATTTTATAAACACTTCAAACAAATTGAGAGAAGTACAAAAAAGCTTGTAGGGGCTTTGTATTGCAGAGTTGCTTTGAATGATATGATTTTTTTATGATCTAAAATAATGTCATGGAGCATCTTACTGTATCTTCTCCCTTTTCGAGAGGGGGTGATAAACACTTGATTTTGATATCACATGCTTATATGCTTACTATTTTATATTATCAGCAATACCTGGAGAAGAAATATCCTTTCAGTTACTGAGAATCCATTTCATTTCATTACATTTGATTCTTGTTTCAGAGAGCTTGCACCAAGTTTCCAGAAGATCTCAAGGTCTGGATGTCCCATCTACAGTTCTGCAAGAAATGGGTAAGAATTTTCAAAGTCTTCTTTTCAAAGACATTTCAAAGTCTTCTTTTCCAAGACATGTTGAAGTCTTCTTTTCCACGACATTTCAAAGTCTTCTTTTCAAAGACATTTTAAAGTCTTCTTTTCCAAGACATTTCAAAGTCTTCTTTTCCAAGACATTTCAAAGACTTCTTTTCTTAGACTTTTCAAAGACTTCTTTTCTAAGACAATTTCAAAGGATGGGTACATGATGCATGGAAGTTGGATGTGTACCATACGTAGATAAAAAGCTACAGTGCATGTTATGAATGTGAAAACCCTACACTATAACAAAAATGATTGAACATTATTTTATGACATTTCAACCAATAGAATAAGTGCTTGCAAATACCTAAATAGGTATGTATTAGTTGTTTCATGCTGTAAAACTTGAAGGAGCTGCGGACTACCGTAATGAAACCTCTGAACTATGACTTTCTTATTTAAGCCAAACAGTGTGAGTCTTGTGTTTTATATGGTGTCTTGTATGGTGTTCACAATGAACAGTGAGAAAGAAACAAGTATTGTGAAAGGCTCTTCACAAATTCTTACATGACCTTTGAATGGGTACCTGGCAATGTTGGAGCAATAATAAAGGCCCACAGGAAGAGCTGTATTGATACTGATGTAACTACTCTTGATAAACAAGACCAAATGATTAATATGAAATCATTACTTGAAACAATTGGCTTCGATTAAGTCAGTCTTCTTTTCTTCTTAATTTTGTATGACAGGGCCGATATTTGGAGATGAATCGGCTCTACACCAGAATGCTGAAGATACACTCTAATAATCCAGGTATGAATTCTCTGTTTCCTTGATACTTCTCGTTTGGTTTCCAAGCATTTGCAGGTTATTTGTGAAAAGTTACGCAACCTATCGATACTCTAGGCCAGTATGTGAAGGGGTGGGATGAATGCATCAAAGATAAATGCATTTATGGGAAGTGAAAGTTGTTGCAAGTTTGTGATGATGATTTTTATCTTTTTTCCCCAGCTTATCCATATATGCTGATACCCATGTGAAATTAAGCCAGTACAAATCTGAACATGTTCTTGCAACCTCTCTTCCCTACCCATAACATCTGTCTTTGTTAACTTCGCAACTATTCTTTAATCATGTGTTCCAATAGCATCGACAGTTCATCATTTTCCTATAGAAAAGGTTGACTATAAGAACTAACTTGTCTAGAAGTTATTCTTGTTGTTGTGCTATGTAAACAACAGAAGTAAGCATATGTTACAGGATGTAGGAACCATTATATCCAAATTAATATTTACATAATGTTTTTGCATATCATAAACACTAATCAGCTCTGTACAGAAATATGAGCAAATAGGACTACACTATACACCTGTCAAAATCACTTGGCTGAAGTAAATTTTGGTCTCAATTTAATTCTACATAAGAGCATTACAAGAGCAAACCTCCTTGTGTTACATTCCTGATGAAATGCTCTCCTTTACGGGTATAAATAACAACAGGACTGTTACGAACACTTACTGTAGCCAGTATTAAACTCACTGTTTTCTCCCTTTCAATTATTAACTAGTTGAGTAATGCTTGACAAAACAGAAACTCCTGCCCATTAAAAATGTTTGCGAATTTCATGAGTTTTAAGATTTACGAAAGTTTGATACTCTATTGCAATTGGCTCAACTCTAATTTTTTTCCATTTTGTGAAGGTTTCTTGCCATGGAAATCGCGCTTGTTTACAAATCGTTCAAGGTTCACATCATGAAAGTTTCTGGTGAGACAGTCGGCCCTTAATAAGTAGATCTGAAGTCTATTGAAATTCATGTTATACCCAAATCTAATGACATCGTACAGGTTGACTCTTGTTTAATCTTGATCAATCTTGATCTCCCGTTGGTAGGACTCTGTAAATGCCCAAATCAAATTGGCATCTTACCGGTTAATAATTCTTGTTTTTTCTCGATCTCCTGTTAGGACTCTGGATCATGGCCGCCAAGTTCCAGCTAGAAGAGAACAATTCAGGAGAGAATGCCCGGGCTCTCTTCCTCCGCTCTCTCAGGCATCATCCAAAGGTCCAGAAACTATGGACTGAGGTGAGTCAAGACTTTAAATCCGGACAAGTTTCCCAACCCTTTTTCAATCTCTTGGGTTGCCTAAAATATGAACAATTGTGGTTTCAATATTTTTTTTTCTTCATTTTTGATGAGTCATTATTTTGCATTATTTTTAAAGTGGTAATATTCTGTGATCCTGTGCAATATCATCATTTGCAAGTGACATTTGTAATTCAATAAATGGAAGACATATAAATAAGTGTGTTGTGCTATTTCTTAAAGCAATTAAACCGTGTAATTTACTATCCTAGTTGCTGGATAACATGTATGAAACAGAGTACCATGGACTTTCACAAACATGATTGTTATTCCCTGTATTATTTTACCAATTGACTAATTTGTTTCCCCATGCTATTATTTTTTTTCATGCAGTATTTCAGAATGGAACTTCTCCATGCAGACAAGGTATGTTATAATGTTGCTTATTGGTTATTTTAATGCACTTGTTGCTTCTTTTTAATTTGTTGTAAATTTTAACTCATTTTTAAATACAGTGTCGGGGTAAAATCAAATATGGAACTTCTCTGTCAATCATAAATGAAGAACTTGTGGTGATGATTAATATATCTTTTTTCCCCAGCTTATCGATATATGCTGATACACCTCTATGGAAATAAGCCAAACCAAATCTGAACAAGTTATTAATTCCAATGATTGATGAATATAAACTTATGGTTATCTCTTATTGAAGTCTCTATTTAAAAGTTACAGTTGCAAACTCTAGTCAGAACAGTGCTTTGTAATAAAAGAAAATGTGTAGACCATTGTGTTAAACATTCTCTCAATAGTTCAACAAACTGAAAATGCATCTGTATTTGAATTTGACAAAGAGTAATAAGATTTATCTAAGTTACAAAACATTAGTCAATTATCCTTTGTCAAAATTTTTATTTTTATTTTGAAATTGTAGTAACTCCCAAAATTTGAGAGGAATGCTTGCTCCAACTACAGGAGATGACAGTCTGATATGTTAATTAACAAAGCCCCTCTAATATGGCATTATGGAAACAATTGATTTGTGCCACTTTGTGAATAATGAGTGATTTGCAAAATACGCTAAAAATAATGCCTCTGCCAAAATAACTGCTTGTACAGTAACTGGTATCTCTGTTGATTTCTTTTCAGCTTAGGAAAAGAATGTCCCTACTGAAGCAAACCATGGTTGAACCCGAAGAGTCTGAACTAGAGGACGCCCTCATGAGGGGAGAACTGGCCAGGCGTGTATACAGCACTGCTATCAAAGAGATACCAGGTGAGTGAGCCCCCTTCCCCCCCCCCCCCATTCTGTTTCTTGCCCCAAGTTTTCGTTTTGAGCCCCCTTCCCCCCAATTTTATTTCTTGCCCCAAAGTTTTCGTTTCAAATTTTATGTTAAAAAATGTGCCCCAAAGGGAAAAATTTTAGGGTTTTAGGAAGGTATTCCGGTAATCGCACTTGATTGATTTCACTCGTCAAGTATAAATCCATTCCTATAAGGAAAGGTACAGATTCAGTTCACGCGCCATTGTTTGCACCACTGAACTTGTGTGCTGCGTATCCATGTGAATAACACATGAATTGAGCTTTTTTCAGAAGAAATTGTGCAGTTACAGCAATATTTAAGTAGTCTTGCAGTTGTGTTACTTAGTGCTGTCTTGATGATTACTCTCCTGATGAATAGATTATATCCCTATCTTGTTATATGAAAAGTTGACAAAAATTATGAAGGTATAGCGTTTGTCAGAAATTTATGAATTTTACAGTAATGTACTTTGATGTCTGAGGAGCTTGTGGTGATGATTAATATATCTTTTTTCCCCAGCTTATCGATATATGCTGATACACCTCTATGGAAATAAGCCAAACCAAATCTGAACAAGTTCTTCTAAGATACAATCTTCTTGTGTACCTCTTTCACACACACACACACACACACCTCTCTCTCTCTGTCTGTCTGTCTCTCTCGTTTGTATCATAAGTCCTTACATGTCTGTTTTATTTCCCTCTATCTAGATGATATTGCATTCAGACTGTCGTTTATTCCCGTCGTCCGATGTTTTGATTTCACCTCTCAGCTAGTGGATGCCATCTATGAGGAGTAAGTACATGCTACTCTTGGCGCTCTGACATATACAGTCAAACCTGTATTAGCAACCACTTCTCTCTGTAAAGACCACCTGTCTATAGTGGCCATGCATTTTGTCTCCCATGAGAGAGAAATGTGTATCATAGAACCTGTCTAGAAAAGCCACCTGTCTACAGTGGCTACTTTGTCTTGTTTTCCTGGGGTGGTCTTTGTAGACAGGTTTGACGGTACTTGATTCAGCCGAGTCCTTGCGGTTGCTCGTGATATGATGGTCCAATTTCAGATCCAGTCAATCTACTTCTAAAATGTACAGAAGTGACACTTGTGATACTGAAGATAATGAGGCTTGGTTTAGGTCTATATCTGATCTAAGGGGAAATGTTACAAGATAAAAAAAAAAGTAAAGAATAAGAGCCTCCCAGGAAGGGTTGACTCGATGTGCTCTGCGGTACGGATGCAGACAGCGGCCCTGACTTTGAGAAGCCTTGGCGTTTGGTTGAGGGTTGAATTTAAGAAATACTTGGTGTAGGATGTGTTGTACTGTCCCACTCAGATGAGTGCATTAACCCTACGTTAACTGGGGGGGGGGGGGGTCAATTTGACCCCCCCTGTAGAAATTTTGCGACTACTCCGAAACCGCGGCAGATATAAAATTTTCCTCTCCTGACTTTTTACTTTCGAGTCTTACGCATCTTTTAAAACGATTTTTTTGAAAATCGGACCTACGGTTACAAGGTCGCGTGACCTTTTGTCTTTGCATGTCAGCCCGAAAATCGCTCATTTTCATGATTTGTGTACAAAACATATGTAAAAGTCATTTTTCCTAAAAATAGATAAAACATTGGTTATTCAGTCTTGTTTAAAGTTTAGATGTTTGTTTTGGGGTCAAAATAGTTGAATTGTAGTTATAAATGAATTAAAACAACAAAAACAATAAAATACATAAGTTAAAAAAACAATGAAATACATAAGAAATTATAAAAACAAGAGATAACATAAGGAATAACATGGCTCTTTCAATTTTTTGTGTTGTATTATTATTCCAAATGGTCTAATAAATATATGTAGTGAAAAAGAATACTTAAATATGAATAATCTATGATTTATGGGCCGAAATGTGAATTTTATGACCTTATTTGCATAAATTACCATAAATATGCAAATGAGTGAATTTTTCAAAAATTTGAAATTACCATTGTATTCTATACACTTCACTTGACATGCATGCAAATTTTTGCGGCGATCGGCGGTGAAACGGCCGAGATCTTAGGGGGGGGGGTCAAATTGACCCCCCCCCAGTAAAAACCTGGTCTGAAATAGCCCAGTTAAGATAGGGTTAAGTAGATTGGCCAATTTACTTACGACTCCTTAGCCTACAGAGTATCAAAGCAAACCATCATATTTGAACTATGAACTACCGTGATGATTTATCTTTTTTCCCCATCTTATCGAAGATGCTGATGTTTTGTTTGATTCGTCAAGCCAATACAAATCTGAGCAAGTGTTTCCATGGTCTATATTCATACCCTTACCAAGTTCTGTAATATTTTAAGTATTTGTCCCGATTTATGTTTCTTGAATATGTGACATGTTAAAGCTTACATCTAAAATAATTGAACAAAGACCTTACTTAAGTCAACCAGTCCACCTTTGATTCTTGAGTTACAAAAAAAAAGCACACACAAAACAACAACAGCAACAAATTTACAACGAGTATGAATAATTCAGTTGTTATCGTATGTCAAGAAATAACACTGCAGTATAGTATACTCATGATCTCCTTTCTCACATTTTAATAAAATCTTCTTTTTTTCCGTGTCAGTCTTGAACGTGACCACCCTGATAATGATCTAACATGGAAAGCTCTGGCAAGAAGGCATCTAGTAGCATCAGGTGAGAAAGTTTGAGATATTCACTCTTGACCCCTTGCCTATGGTGTTTAATCATATTGGGAAGATTCAATAGACAATGGGTCAACCCTTTAGAAACTAATTGATTTTGATATAAGATGACAAATAAAAACATAGGTGTCACAGTCCGAGAGTTTTAAAAATCGGGGGTTTGATCCTCTGCACTTGTATCCTTTGACAAGTGGTGGTGGTTATTTTACCCGACTGCTAAAAAAGCATAAATGCTTGTAAGTAAGCAACCAGACGGCTGACGGCTTTAGATCCTCTCCGAGGGACCTGGTGCTTCTCTCCACCATGGTGTTGGATTGGGTATCTGGTAGGAAGGAATTCTTTGAGCGCTGTCAGCACCTAAATTAGTTAGTCTAGTTAGAGCTTGGATGATGTATGCGGTCCAGACTACGAGACTCATGATGATGATTTCTATCTTTTTTCCCCAGCTTATCGATATATGCTGATAACCATGTGAAATTAAGCCAGTACAAATCTGAATGAGTTCTCCCTGGATGCACCTCTTCACCCCTAAAACGTTCTTGCAGTGGAGAGGGAGAATTATTATGGTTGTTGTATTGAACAGATAAAGAGGTCTGGATATCCTGAAAAAATGGTTGCCTATTGGTTTGACAAATGTTATATTTTAATACTGGTGTCACATTGATTTGTAGATGGTGTTGCATGATTAATCATTACTTGTTAGTTATAAAGTGTGAAGGATGCCAGATGAAAGGGGTCATACTAGCAAGTTAAATCCTTGAAAGGTGCCGAGTTCTGTAAAAGGTCAAGATATTAAGTATACTAATAATAAAAATTCCACTCACGGCAAGCAGTATGAAATGCGACTATGATTATCTGGAATACGAAATGTCATTTCCCGATCTTTCATCACTACAGGTACTGAAGATGAGGTGTGGTTGTCTGAGGTACACTGCCATAGCATCTTTGACCAAGCACTGGAGAAGGTCTCCGGCGTTGGTATATGGGCTCACTACGCTGATACTTGCCTAGAACGACTTGAACTAGATGGTTCAGATGACCTCAACAGCAGGGTAAGTTATCATACATTATGTCTCAAGAAATGAATGGTACTACCCCTCTCTATGTGAATGAAAAAGTAAGCTTTTCCTTTCCTTATTATTGCTTCAAATAAAAGCACTTAATAAGAACCAATTATTATTGTTATTGCTGCAGATTTGTTTGTTTCATTGTTTAACATAATCGGGCAACATTTTTGAAGGAGAACACTCATGACTATTTATTGTTCATAATTGATGTATACCTTGGAACTATCCTCGGTACGTAGAGATAGCATCCTATGTGTAATTGGGCGACCATTTTGATTGGTTAGTTCATCAAGGGATGGATGCTACATTGAATCTAGGGTTGTCTTGCCGTTTGCTGGTCATCAGATTCTATGTGATTGATTGGCGTGTGAGGCAACCCATAGAACCTGCTTAAAAGTCCATGAAATCTACCAGAAAGACTTCCAGAGATAGGGTCATAAAGTCGTTTAAGTTTGTTAATAATATTGATGATTTTGTTAACCCATGGAAACCCCACCAGTATCACATGCTGTTCTTCTTGGGGGTTCTGTGGTTATTATTACCTCAGTAATTGCCAGGTACCCTTTAAAACCTGGGTGGATAGTGGAAAATGTGGATTTAATTTATTGCCAAGGGACATCCGTGATAGGCTGGGATAAGAACCCTTGACCCTTGTATTGAGAGTCAAGTAAACAAATCTTTATATACCAAGTCCAGATTCATTTTCCTCATCCGAGATGCAGCTTTCTTGTGCACCAATAAAAAATTTAAAAAATCTTAGTCATGAATAGAAGTTTACATGTAAACATAATGTGTAAATTTACTATATTTTCTCTTTTTTCTGCAAACATTGGAATCATGGATCCTGTTTGTAATATTGTCTTTTTCAACCTCTTAGAATTTTCTAAAATGTACAGTAATTCATGAAGAAATATATATATTTCAATCAATTTTCTATCGTAGAGAGCAGAAAAGACATTGGCAGTGTTTGAATCAGCGGAGAAGAAGAACAGCCCTACAGAAGACATGTACAAGAAATGGGTGAGTTCTGAACATATAGTCATTGTGCATTGACATCAAGTTCAAGTCCAAGCTACTTAGTCCCATACCTTACCAACCAAATCTCCATGTATGAACAAATAAATAAACAATAAACCCGACAACAAACCAAAATTAACCAAATTGATTCTTGGCGACTGAGGATAGTGCAACTATTTGTTCTGTCTACAATCAGTTCGGTGTATGTCTAGTCAGGTGTGAGGGAGGTACTATGGTTGGGTGGGTATACTATTTGGTGTAGGAAAGCAATTAAGAATTTGGCTTGTGTTAAACATTACCTTCAGAGCAAGTAAAGCACATTGTACAGCCCTCAAGGATAGCATCTTGGAAGCCACCTGTCTGCCAAGCAGTGGTACAGATGTTAAAGTTATACATGCACTTTATTAGTTGAGACTCGTGATGATGATTTCTATCTTTTTTCCCCAGCTTATCGATATATGCTGATAACCATGTGAAATTAAGCCAGTACAAATCTGAATAAGACCTCAACTAAAAAGCATGTCATACCTACTGTCAATTAAGATAACCATTAGAGCAAGTGATATGATTCAATCAAATTCAAATTTAATTCAAAGTTATTGGGTACCTGGTAGGAAGAAATTCCTTGAATGCTTTAGCGCCTAATCAAGGAGGCTCAGACACAGCCAGGGTAATAATGTACTTTAGAGTGAATTCATATAGTAGCTGCACTATATATATAGATTGGCATATTGTTATTATAATAATGAAACAAATAATGTAAACTGTTTAATACCCTGATAACTTGCTTCTAAGTTAATCATATCTGTGTTGATTCATTTTATGTGATTATATATATGCTTGTACAGCGCAAAGAGAACTTATGTTTATTTTGCGCTATATAAATATTGTATTATTATTATTATTATTATATCCTTCCCTTTTCTTGCTTTTCTGACCCAGGTGGAGGTGTTGAGGGTGCTGGATTTGGATGAAAGGGCACTGGAGGTCAGTTTGAGGTCAACTGAAGTTCATCAGAGGTCACTTGACCTGTGGATCAAGAGGTTGATCCTGGTCATAACGACTGGAGGGAAAGGTGAGAGATAGCAATATTGTACAAAATATAAATTAAATAAAGGTCCTCTGTATTGCTCAAAACCAGGCTTACCTGTGAGACTAAATGGGGTGTTCTTGCGAGATTAAGTCTGGTGTTCCTGTGAGATTTCTAGGTTTAATTGAAATTAATAATCATGTCTATTGTGAAATATAGGAAATGTAGTTGCCATTTTGTCTTGTCCATAAGTAATACGATAGGATATTTTCGTAATAACCAAATTTATAATCAGGTGCCTCGAAACAAATTATTTCATTCACCTGTTACGAATTAAAAATATATTTCAATAGTCGGAATGCTAATAACATACATTACGTGTTGGTAGGTAGGGCAAGCCATTATTATGTTTGTCCTACCTAGCAACAACTAATGTACACACTTCAAAGACGTATGCATTGAATGTGGTTCATTATGAAAATGGCTTGTAATTTATTGTGGATAATGTTAGAACCTCCTTTTCTTGGCATCTCCGAACTCCCACCGTGTTTGTGAGATGAATGCAACCAGGAGGAAGATAAACGTGATGAACCTTCGGTGTCAGGGGTCAAACCGTGCCCTGGTCCCATCCTCTAGCATCATGACAATTTATTTCATTTGTTTAATCTTTGTTCATATGTTGATTACGTTGTCCAAGGTATGGAATGGTATGTTTAATTTGGGCCATTACAAGAAGTGGGATATTGATGTAGACAAATGCTCATGTACCCTTTACAACTCTTTTCATGTATGTTATTACCAAAGAAGAAGAAAAAAGCCAGTCAGTCACTCAATAGTGTCTGACAGTGAAGTCTAGCAAGTAAACAGGTTTCCTTGCATAATTTGAATATTAGGACACTGCTAACGTTTAAATTTCACAGATAGGACATACATGACATATTCATCATTCCTGCAAAGTTCTACAGAATTTGATGTTGGTTGCAAAAGGGACAAAGTATCTTTAACGGGCCTATTGGTCAATTCAATGTTCCAAGTGGATAAGACTCTGCTTCAAAACTTTTTGTTGGGATACTGTCGCCCTTTTAACAAGTTGTCTTCACATTATTTCATCCTTTTCAGACGGAGATGAAGAGGATCATAGGTTAAAGGTCAGAGAGACGTTCGACCTGGCTATCTCCCATGTCAAATCAAAGGTATGTATTGTACTCTCCTACACTAGTACTACGGCTACTCTAAACCCATTGCTAACAGGAACCAGGTGGTCCCTATATTACACCTGCTGGGATGAAAGAATTTAGTAGTCATTGGGTTAATTCATTGCTATGTATCACCCTTTCTGTGTAGAGGGCAGTAAGTTCCACCTATTATTTCATGTTAAAGTAGTTATCTTGAGTAGAGAAAACAAAAGTGGTATTGCATTTTGAAAGACACCGTCAAAAGAAGAAAAGAGAAGACAAAAAATAGAATATTTTATCGTGAAATCAGTTGGTGTACAAAATATATGAAATAGTAATATTGGATAAGAATTTTCAAATGTTAATGTTGGACAATCATGGTACAACAAAAATTTGCTGAAAACCTCACATAATAAAATGCACTTATTGGACAGTGTTCTATTTTTAGTTACGTTTCCTACATTATCTTATTTCTATGTTCTTGTAACCAAATGGGTCAACAGCACTTGGTACCTTTTTCTGAGATGCTGTGAAAATGTAATTTTTCATCACAAAATTACCAGTGAAGCGTAGGTTTTAGAGGAACTTGTTCGAAACTTGGGGAAGGTGGTCAGATCACGTGGTGATGATTTAACTTTTTTCCCCATCTTATCGATATATGCTGATTACCATCTTACATGCATCATGCATTAAGCCAGTACAAATCTGAACGAGTTTCTGACCACCTTAGACATTGATGATTTCAAGTGTAACATACGTACATGTACTGTCATGTCAGTCTTGACAAAAACTGGTGGACAGGCAATCAATGTACCATCAAGGAAGATTAATTAACCTTTTCTGTAGAATATAATGCCAGCAATCACTTATTGAAGAAGAGTTCAGGTGCATTAGCAGGATTCCTACCTTACAGCTTTGTAAAATTTCATATTTGCAAAGTAATGATCTACAGGTAATTTCTCTTGTTCGTGTTTACTTCATAGTGACTTTGAAATATGTTTAACTCTGAATTTCATGCTTTGGCGTTAGCACTATAAACCCTTTGCATACGAGAGCCAGATTCTTCCTGTAAGAAGCTTATGAGAATAAGATAATTCAGTAGTCCATGGGTTGAGAATCTTCTCCATTGCAACCCATGGTCTTCATTGAAAACATGGAAGGATACATACAGTATGGAGTTTGATAAATGTTATTCCATTTTCTTTGTAAAATTTCAACAGGCATTTATTTCAACAAGCTTTTCTTTTGTTTTTACTTTGTAGAATGCCCTGGACATTTGGAATATTGGTCTGGAGTGGTGCTTGACTAATGATACGGAAATGATACAGAATCTATTTGAGGTGAGTTTAGTGGTTGACTTACCATGCTATTTAACCCTTACTGTACTGGGGGGGGGGGGCCTGGGAGGCCCCCCCCTCGACATTTTCGGAGATTGCGCCGCAACCGCTTGGAATTTTGAATTGTCGTTTCATGACTTTTTTCCCTCAAGTCTTACGCACATTTTGATACCATTTTCGTCGAAATCGGATATACCTGTAAGGCGTTACATAACAATTAGTATGCGCATGTCATCAAAAAAAAAAAAAAAAAATTGAAAATCCATCAAAATTTGCATAAATTATCATTATTAATTACATTAAAATAACTTTTTTGTGTTAGAAAAGAAGTTTCATATGAATAATGAGTTTCAACATTCAAAAAGTGGAGTTTGACACGTTTTCTGTAAAATGCATAAATTAGCGCATTTTGCATAATTAATTAGGTTAACGACAAAAATTTGCATATTCGGAAAAAACTAATTATACCATCTTGTTCCTTACGTAAATATCTACAAACATGCAAATTTTCGTGTTCATCGGACAATCGACGGCCGAGATCATAGGGGGGGGGGCCCCTCCCCCCCCCCCCCCCCCCCCCCCCCCCCCCAGTCAGTGGGTGCTCAAAATAGCCCAGTACAGTAAGGGTTAATCTCTGACCCCACCCCTGTCCTCTTTTCTCTCTTTCCCTCACTTACTCTCTATCTCTCCCTTTCTCCCTTTCTCCCTTTCTATCTCTACATCCTTTCCTTTTCCTTTTTTTTTTATCCTTCCTTTTACAACAAATTTTGAGCAGAGAATTTTTTTTTAAAGCTGGGGGGGGGGGGGGAATGCTATGAACAAAACTAAACTAGGTTGAAACTACAGCAAAAGTTGTATTCTATAGAAAATCTGTTACATGGTGAACAAGCAAAGGTAGAGTTTTCAGACATCCCTTCTCTATGCGCACTGATGGACTTTACAATGATGACAAAAATTTCCCTCATCTGATACGTTCATGATGAAACTGGAAATACACGGTACTTTAAATTTGTCTGAGTAAAGTTCCTATACTTTTTATACAATTGCTAATAAGGAAGGTTACCTTCTGTAATATGTTATTAAAGTTGTTAACTAAACGTTGAGCTTGAAGGAAGTGTAAACAGTTTTATCCCTCTCCCCCCCCCCCCAAAAAAAAAATAATAAAAAAAATAAAAAAAATATGCAATTCTTACTTGTATAATAAAATGTAATGATTTATATATCTTGTGCAATTGTAGGTGTTAGTTACTTGTATCAAATTACAAAGTTATTAAAATTGTCAAGGAATTGTGCTGTGAGTATGGAGATGTTTATCAGTATCTTCAGGGAATAGAAGAGTAAAGCTTGAATTTGTATTCAATTTACATCTATGAGACCATGTATCTGTTGCATGGTAATTTAAAATTCATGTGTTAATAGTAGTTTTATTGATATTCCTCTCATGCAGTGTGGATTAAAGGAGCACCGTGTCATCGCCCTGCCGTTAAAGATCCGCTACCTCGAATGGACAGCTCTTGTCAAAGGAATGGGAAAAGCAAGGAAGCTGTATAAGAGGTAATCTTTCAGAAAATCACATTTCTTCTTTCTTTCATTTTATTTAAAGAATTTGCATATGGAGTATAATAGTATATGCATTGTTAAAGCATTTTAAAAGAAAAAAAATTATGAAGAAGTTAATTTTCATTATTGATCCTGTAGTTGATGGAATCCTCTCTTTAAATGGTGATGATTTAAACAAACAGAAGATGATATTCTGAAAAAGATCTCCTGAAACAACAGACACAGATTTACACATGTGGGACCCAAGAGTAACACGGGATGACAAAACTCTTATTTATGTTGAATTTGTAAAATTGACAGCACTTCAAATGCAATTGCGTTTAATGTAACCATGCAAGTTTGTTTTTCTTAACGACAATTCAAAGAAATATAATGTACCCCCTCCTTCCTCCCCCCCCCCCCCATATCACCAGTCAACATTACGTAAATGTTAATATAATATAATAATAAGAGGACCTGTGAATGATGACATTATTTTTCCCTCATCTTAGCAATCAATGCTGAAATGGTTTAACACGGTACTTTATTTGTCTGACACTGGTCCTTGTAATTATAGATTCCTGATAAATTTGCTTTCGAAATTTAGTAGACATTTCTGTTTATTTGCTCTTTGTTGTACGTGTGTGGTTGTGTTGTGGATAAAATTTCTTTAATATAATCACTCCAATTGTTGAGTCATTGATGTGAGGTATATTTCTATTAATACAAGCTGAGCAGAATTACAATTAAACCACTTTCATGTGAAAATGTTCATAGTATTGGCTGATTGGCAGAGAGGTCGCTCATCAATTGTATACTGACCTGAATTGTTTTTTTGTATGATCTTTGTAGGATGGCTACAGAGAAGCCTCTCGGTGAAGAATTCTTTGATAAATACATCGCATTGGAGGAAGCACAGGTAAGAATGATGCTCAAACTTGTATCTCTCCCTTTTTTTCAATCCGATTCAAAGCTGGCTTGTATTTCATGTAGCACTGATGTAGTTTACATGAGACAGATTATAAAAAAAACAATTTTTATTTTCATATTGATTTTCAGATTTTTAATCTTGAGGGATAGTTTTTCAGATATCTTATGAAGTATTTTGAATCTGAATTTTCTAGTTCACCTATAAGATGAAGTATTGATCAGGATTGTTAATTATGTAACAAGCAATAATGATGGTAGGCATGGAGATTTCGGAACTTGTGGTGATGATCTAACTTTTTTCCCCATCTTATCGATATATGCTGATAATCGTCTTACATGCATCATGCATTAAGCCAGTACAAATCTGAACAAGTTCCTGATCCTCAATCAGCATCTCTAATAATATTGTAGATCATCATAGATGTAATACTTTTTAGGGATGTAATTTAGTATGGCAATCACCCAATAAATTGTCTTTCATTCTCTTCTCCATCTATCTCATTTCCACTCTTTCTCCATATATTTTTTCACATTCTCTTTTTCCAATTCTCTCTCCGTTTCTCTCTCTCTCTCTCTCTCTCCCTCTCTTTCTCTCTCTCACTCTCTTTCTCTCTCTCACTCTCTTTCTCTCTTTCTCTCTTTCTCTCCCTTTCTTTCTCTTTCTCTCCCTACTCTCCTATACTCCACATTTTCTCTCCATTGCATGTCTGTATCCTTACCCTATACCTCTACACCCCTCTTTCTCTTCATCCTCGCACCTTTTCATTATTTCTATTCCTCATCCCTCATCTCTGTACACCCTATACTCTCTCCATACTATCCCCATCTCTTCTCTTGTGAGAGAAAGAGAGAGATAGGAGAGGGGGTGGAGGGCTGACCTGCATAAAAAGACTCTTCTCTCTATTATGCACTTTATAAACTCACCTTTATTGTTTACTTTCTTGTCATCTAGCCCACTCCCAAAGCAAAGAAGATCTCAGAGGCATACGACGATGCTCTGAGGGAATTTGGCGAGACTTCACCAGGTTAGCTGAGTGCTCTTTATTCTTTCATATTGTTGTGGGCTGGTGTTTTCTCTCAAGGGAGTAGAGAATGTTCTTAGGGGCCTGCTAATTTGCCACCCTGCCTATAAATAATGTCCCAACCTCAATTTTTCATCATATCGAATTGCGTAATGCAGGCTAGACCGCCTAGAGTGTTTCCATTGTAAAAAGTTAGACTTATTATTCATAATCGATGTATGCCTTGGAATTATCCTGGGTACGTTGAGTTAGCATCCTATGTGTAATTGGGCGACCATTTTGATTGGTTAGTCCATCAAGGGATGGATGCTACATTGAATCTAGGATTGTCTTGCTGTTTGCTGGTCATCAGATTCTATGTGATTGATTGGCGTGTGAGGCAACCCATAGAACCTGCTAACAACTCCATGAAGTCTACCAGAAAGACTTCCAGAGATAGGGTCGTAGAGTCGTTATGAATAAGTGTCGATTTATGCCCCTCCACCTAGCACTGTGCAGGCCGACGCTCAGCCCTGCCTAGAAGAGCACCGACATGCTAGCTGCCAATGTCTGGATTTCTCTTTGGACTTGAGAGGAAAATTTGCCTGTCATTTATAGTTTTAAAAACAATATTGTTACTGTTATTTGTGACAAGTTCAAAAGCACAAATCGGCGCCTTCAATTGCAATTTGCACCTCAAAGTAAAAAAAATATTTAAATTTCTCTTTGAGAGCTTCACCATAATGACGTCAATGAAATAGTTCTAATATGTGGTTGTCTTTAAAATAATAAATATTGTATGATACAGCTATGAATGTCAAACAAAGAATTTCCGATCTTTATCATCCCCTGCTGCAGGTCTTTGGTTGGCTTACATCCGTCATGAAATCACCCATCCGGAGGGGAGCCAAGGCAAGGCCATGCAACTGCACTGGAAGGCCATGAAGACACTGGAAGGCGAGCAGGTAGAACAGTTTGTCAATGGCTACACACTCATGCAGACCAAGGATAGCGGGGACTGAAACTCCAGATACCAAGAAGAAAATAGAGTAAAAAGCAAGGTCGTAAAGTCCCAAAGTTGGAAATCGCCTTGAGTGTATACTCTTGTCGACGGAGGGGACTGGTGGTTTATTAAGACGCCAAGAAAAGAGTCGGTACGCAAGGCCATGAAGGGGCTAGATTGGAATAACTAGAGTGAACCAATGGCTTTACATTGATACAGACCAAAGACGGTCGAGACTGAAGTTCTGGATGCCAAGATTTCAAGAAGAGATTGAACATTACCGATATATACTCAAGGCCGTGAAGGCAAAAGATGGAATAATCTGGTGTTGGATTTGACCATCCGTATTCTGTTATAGAGAGAGTTTTAAATTTCTGTAAATGAGCTGTGATTTCCACTCTTGTATTGAACATCAGACATTGGGTGGAAAACAAAATTGCTCTATAAAAGACCTTGGCACAAGAGGGAGAGTTCAACCTTCTCAAAAAGGATGTTATGTGTTTTATACCTTCTCTAGAAAATATAATTCACAACTATTACTCTCTTTTCCTTTCTTTGAACTCTTTAATTTTCTATTCCAAGAAGTTATAATAACAACAAGGAACACATCTGTGAAAAAGAAATTGCATAGTAAACTAATGTTGAACTTTGGTGGTACTGCATCAACATCATTTGCCAATCAAAATCTCTTTGTATTTCTTTCATAGATTTTAACTGTTATGATCAGTTTTATTTTAACCTTCTTTTTAAAAGAAGGTCAAGTTTCAGTTATGGAGAAAGGTGAAATATAGTTTATGAGCTTTCTTTTTATGTTAATGATGAATGATATGCCACATGTTTGTGTACTCCCATATACTATACATTCATCTATGACTTTGACTTTCTGTAAGAATGAGTCAATTTCTCATGTTCATCATTCCAAAACCTCACAATCTTCGGGCTTGGCTAAATTGGCTAGAGCTCTACGTTATCAACATTATAGCCCATCATGAACAGACGTTTACGAAAATACATTGCCATGGAATTGTGTTTGTCATCATTGTTTGATGATGGCCTGACAAGTTCTTTGTATAAGATGATATATTTATTAAACAAATAAGTTAACTAAATTGAGTGTCATTTGTATTTACTGTGGAAGTGGAAGTTTGAGATGGGTATGAAGCACAGTATGTTGTGGCAGTGATGGAGAGGGAGGGAGCGAAAGAGCATTGAGAATACACAATTCTTTCCAACTTAAAATTCGTATTGTTGAGAATTAGTGTCACGAAATGGAAGAAATGAAAATAAGACAAAAAGTCTGTAATTCTGACCCTGGTCGATTTTATGTTGCCATTTATTCAAGCACATGCATACGACTTCTTAAAAAGTATGACAAAAGAGAATTCTAACCAGGGAAACGATGCATTTCTTGTGCAAAGAGGGAAGAGAAAAAGGAATATGCATTAATTTTAGGTGGCAGAGATGGAGAATGCGGTTAGAGGTAATAACAGAGGAGAGAGATTACAATAGTTAATGGGAGGGAGAGGGAGAAAATATGGAAAAGAAATCTAAGGTACTATTACAATGTTCTTAATTTATGAAAGGAGAGAGGAAAATATGAAGGAATGGAAACGTGACCAAACGAGGAGAGAAAGAGATGAAAAAATGGAACTATACAATTAGATCGGAGTGACAAAATGATAACGAGCATCTAAGCGCTCGAAATAAAATTTAACTTAATCACACTTTCCAATGAAATAAATTGATTGTCATTAAATATAGTTTTGTATCACCACCCAACGTTTTAATATTAAATACTTAAATGAATAAGTAAAATACACTGACAATGGCTTAATCAAATCCTAATTATAATTGAATCAAATTAATCAGTTTTCATTTTGACAAGATTTAAAAGTCGCCACTATAAATCTAGCATCGTGGATTGACAGATATTGAAAGATGGTAAATTGTAGTTTATATTTACATCACTTTAGAATTAATTAAATAAACACAAAACGGGACGAAACTAAAACCCAAATATAAATGCTAATTTCCATGTGTTATGATTGCTGTCGAATCACACGCAGGTCAAATCGATAGCTTGAACGAGGATAAGTATTTGGTATATCATAAATTTGAACACCCACTAAAAACAAACTATTTTCCATTTGGAAAGAATATGAAAATCGAATTCTCTAATCAATGCTGCCAGGTTTGAAAGTAGGTCCACTTGTTTGGAAAGTAAACTATGCCAAATGGCCGCCGAATCGATCGTAATAACAATGATGCGTTTGAAAATTGACCGCCATTTTTGGTTCCCCGCTCTCACATCATGCCCAAGTTTGATCGGACTGTCCCTCATGGCATTCCTACTATTCGAAAGGTCAAATACGAGAAGATATTTCAGCCAAATTTACTCCTTATATCTTTCAGTTTATAGGTAGAATCAAGATATCATAGGAAGAATTCCAGAATAAAGAAACTCTATTTCAAACGATTGAAGGGGGGGGGGGGGGGGGGGGAGGAAAGATTAGTGTGGACTAAAGATGGCCAGAAATATGGCCTTTTCTGAGTAAATTCCATCCACAGAGATGTTTTTATGCATATAAGGTGAATAGACTGGTTTACTACCATATGAAAATGTTATGCATACTTTTTAAACAAAGGCTATTCTTGACAACCTAAAAACTTGCCTGAGGCTTGCCGCCCGACAAAACAACAAGTAAAGAATGCAGAGTGGATTCCGAATCAGTCTTGTTTCATTCATTAATAACAGGTTAATGAAATAACTCGTCACTATAGGCGGTGTCACACATAGGCCAAAAATCCGGATTATGGTTATCCTCTTAATTGCTGTCTGTCACCAATTATCCATTATAAATCCTCTAACGAAGCAAGTAAATTCTCCCTTGAAAGGATTTTAAGGGATTTTTCTGTCTGACACTTTATACGTCCTCGGCAAAGAAACATCCATACACTTCGGTATGTAAGTAAATCGTTCAATTGAATAGTTGGTAATCGGAGTTTATGGCGAGAAACATGCATAAATTGAAATCAGTGGCGTACGCAGGATTTCTTCAAGGGGGGGGGGGGGGGTTTTTAAAATCGGGTCCAAAATTTCGCAACGACTCAGGAAAATTTGAAAATCGTGCCGGCCAAAAAGTCGCTCAGTGGGGGGGGGGGGGGGGGGGGGTAAGCGGACACTTTTTTTTTTTTTGGTAGTCCAAAAAAAATCGCAACGACTCAGCCAGCCGAAAAGTCGCTCAGTTGGGGGGGGGGGGGGGGGGGGGGGGGGGGGGGGTAAGCGGACACTTTTTTTTTTTTTTGGTAGTCCAAAAAAAATCGCAACGACTCAGCCAGCCGAAAAGTCGCTCAGTGGGGGGGGGGTAAGCGGACACTTTTTTTTTTTTTGGTAGTCCAAAAAAATCGCAACGACTCAGCCAGCCGAAAAGTCGCTCAGTGGGGTGGGGGGGGGGGGGGGGGGGGGGGGGGGGGGGGGGGGGGTAAGAGGACACTTTTTTTTTTTGGTCTCGAAATTTGAAAATTTGACATTTTGTTCCTTTGGGGGGGGGGGGGGGTAAGGTCACCTTTCTTAGGTCAGTCGTGGGGGTAATTTTTTTTTTCTTCTTTTTTTTCTTTAATAATTAAAAAAAAAAAAAAAAAAAAAAAAAATCCAAAGGGGGGGGGGGGGGGTTTTAGGGATTTTTTAAGGGGTTTATACACATAAAAATACCAAAGGGGGGGGGGGGTTAACCCCCCAAACACCCCCCCCCCCTGCGTACGCGCCTGATTGAAATGCATTATTAAACATATTCGTTGCCGTTGCTGACTATACACCTTTTACAGATTTTAATTCAAGACGACCAAACATCCTTTCAAATAATCTTAATAGCTGCTATGTCAGGTATGTTCAATTGTTTCTGGGGGGGGGGGGGAAGTGCCGAGATTTACTTATATTGTAAATTTTGTAAATTTGGGCCATAAAGTCCGAAATCGGACCTGTGATGCTCTTCATCAAATCGTGAAATTTATGTACTCATCAATTACGCACCGACAGTACATTCTATTATTTACAGGTGGAAGTATTCTTTTCAAGAGGGCAAACAAAAGGTGTTCATGAAGCAATAATTATCTTAAAATGTACGAAGTTGGATTTGTCTGTGATTAAAATGTTTGTGGATATTTGGGGTTATTAATTTGGAGCTATCCCCGAAGTGGCTCTTTTGGACAAATACAAAATGTGCCCTTCAAATCAGTGAACTTTTCTCTTCCGTACGGTTGTGCAGAAATTTGTTTCAGTTTATGAAATTATATCCTTCGATGAAATAGATCAAAAGGCGTATGTTGTTCTTTGACAATCATAATTTGAGAAGTGACTCTATTTGCAGCAAAAAATACATTTGTGATTTTGTTTCCCTTGAGATTAAGAAGTAGATTTTGTTATAGACCAATCAATGATACACGATTCGAGAGCATGACCTAGCGGGATGACCTACATTTATATCGGAGGCAAGACACAACAAGTATGATAATCATGCTGATATGTGGAATCAGTTATCTTCTCATCACTTCTCTCGAACACAGTTGCGCCTGTATGTATTATCAGCATTAGGTGTATCTCTATGTAAATTTGCTTCGTGATCTTTTACGTAGCAGACTACATCTACAGTGAACGCGTGTGCCATGAAAACCAAAACGTCTGCTGCTCCTAGCGCCGACGGTAAACTTCACTCGTATTGTATTATTGACGTTATACCAAGGAGCACAGTGCAGTGAAATATTCTGGAGTAGTCATGAGAATTTACCGTAGCGGATGTTTTAGGTAAAAATATATGGAGTTGGAGCTCAAAGTAAGGAACAATATGCCTGGAAGGCCTTCCAACAAGGATTTTCAGCGTGTGGACCAAGAGGAGAGCCCAAGTCTCCCGCCGTTTGGAGGTAAATTTGATGTGAAATCTTTTTTTTTTCTTAAACCGGCGCGGCAGGTGAATATTCTCCTTACCGCTATCTGCCGCACGTGTGTTATTTGGAAAGGGATTGTATGTGTACACGCGCAAAGTCGCCCCCGCCGTTTCGGTTGCATGGGTGGCGAGATACTATGAAAATGGTTCTCGCTGACATTGTTTTCGTAATCATTTTATACACCGCGACATAAAACAGCTATGATAATATTTCCTCGCAGATCCCTCATTTAAAATGTTTATTTTCAGTCTTTCTCATTTTAATCATGAATATATACTGACCTTGGCAATCTGAAATTATAGCTATAGCTAGTAAGTTCACATCAAATCAAGATTTCATTTCTTGTGTCTTTTTGACACTTCAGTCCTTTGTAAAATTCCATAGTTAACGACCTACGTTGTATGATAAACAAGTTTGTTCCCGCTGTAACCGATCTTCACAAAGGAAAAAGGCAATACAGCTTTAGGTGAAATATTCTTTCCTAATATTGTAAACATGATTAAACCTATTTACATTACAAAAAAAATATTTGATTGGTAACTCTGTAATATGGTTATGCACTGTATTAAATGCTTGTAAAGTTTTTCAGCCGAATCTATGTCGACCAAAAATTAATTCATTTCAGAATAAATCAATACTGATATGGTATGATAAAACAAAACAAAATAGGATTAGATAATACTGTTATCATCTGAACTGGTAAGAGATTTTATGTGTTCTTAGTTATATCACCTAAAAATAATTGAAATACTAGCTTAATTTTCCCATGTTCAAAACATTAAATTCAGCATTTACATACAAGACAGGCCTACATAATTAC